CAGTTAGCATGATCCTAAGCAGTTCATGGAAATGTGCCATAATGGAGTTACATAGCAGTTAGCCTGTGATAGCCTCCGTTAGCATGCAGCTCCATACCAGAGCAGAGTTGAGCAGAGGGGGAGGGGAGAGCTGTAAGCTTCTGGAGCAAAACATACACACACACACACATTCCGTCTAGCAAATAACACCACATGCTACCAATATACACAGTCACTCCCAACACATGCACATATATAACATGCACAGGCCACAGATTCTTATGTCAGATATTTAGAGAACGCTGCCATCACTGGGACAAACTTCATCCCTGTGTTGGAAGAAGCACAAATATATTCCCATGCTTCTGTACAGTTACATGCACACTCACCAACAGACAGACACACTCAGACAGCATTTCAAACTCCAGGTCCACAGTGTGGTTTCCAACCGACTCCAGCAGATGCACCTACCCTCATAATTGACAATCACAATAGCCAGCATGTAAGCTTTTCCCAGCATCATAGTTAGCTAGCTGCCTCTCATACAGCATAACCCAGTGATGGATCCAAAGAGAGAACCCCAGACAGAAAGAGCAAGAGAGGGGGGGAGGGAGAGAGAGAAAGAGAGAGAGGAAGGGCACAGCAAGAAATGGGGTATGGAGAGAGAGGGGAACATAGACACTTCAAAGCATAGAGGCAGGAAAATGACATGAAAAGAGTGACGGAGAGTAGGGGGAGAAAAGAGTGAATGAGAGGGAGAGTGGAAGCAAAAAAAGAGAAAGAGTGAGAGGTAGCCATAGAGAGAGAGACGCTGTGTATTCCCTACAGCTGATGTTTGCTGTTGTCGTCTTTCTTTCCATTATCTCCAGCATCAACATCATCAGCAGCTCAAATAAGCCTGCCCTCCCTTTCCTGTCCTAAAACAAACATATATACAGGCATGCAGAAAAAAACATTTAGGACACTCATTCTTCATCAAATGTCTATGTTTATCACTTTCTCCCTCCTTTCCACCTTTCCTTTAGCCTCTTTTGGTTGTCCTGGCAACCCCAGGATCATCTTTCATCCAGTATCATTTCCAGGAGAGGTGCAAGAAGGAGGGAGCCATACCGTAGGGCTGATGAGGGGGCAAAAACAGCAAAGAGGATGTAAAGATTGTAGGGCATGTAAAGATTTTTGAGTGTGCTGAAAGGGAGACCGGAAAAAGTATTAAAATACATGTTGATGTGTGAGAAAGCAAGGGCCTCTTTAAAAGGACCTTCTTCTTCTGCATGTGTATGCATGTGTTTTTGGCTCTTATGTGTGAAAAGAGTGTCATACTGGCCCTCTAGCCCACAACATTCACAGAGGAATCTAACACACACTGGGGAAAACAACACAGTTTTGTCAATATGAGAAAGAGAGGCAGACGGGGGCACAACACCATGGGCGAGGACTATATGTATTAGACATCCATAAATTCAACATAAATGATGCCAGTACCATGAATATTGACACTTCATCAAACCCTCAGAGGACAATACGTCTTAACTTAACCTACTAACTACTGTTTGTCCCTCTTCCTCTGCTCATCAATACACACAAATTGATCTACATGAAACATGACGCAATCCCATGAGAGAATTATCACTCTGAAATAACACTGTAGACAAGCCAAGATGAATTTTAAAGAAAGAAAAAAGAATGGACGGAAAGTAAATTCTCCTATAATGACTTGCTTTCAGACCAAAGCAAAAGCACAACACAATGGGGAAACACACAAATGTTTAGGATGACAAGCTTGTCATACTTGTAGAGAAATGAAATATGCAGATGCTCAGAGCCTTCAACTCGAAAGAGATGGTGAGTCATCAGAGAGCTAGAAGAGAAACAAAGCAGCAATAGGCTCAACAGCTCAGAGTAGAGCAGCTCTCACAGACTGAGGATTGTTTACAGCTGAGCTCATGTCAGAACCCAGGGGCTGCTGCTCTAGAGGAGATGAATGTGGTTCATATGCCTACAACAAAGCACGGAGTTTTAAAATCCCAATTAAACTGAACACCCAGATCTTTACATAATGCTGACAAAGAAATACAGTGACTTGAACAGACTTTTTGCAGAGGTAAGTAACAAGCAAGAGACAGAGGTGATGACTCAGGAATTTTTTAGTCTTACTTACAAAGTCATACCAATGTTCAGCCTTACTGTACTTACTATAATTTAAGCTAAGGCATATTTGTTTTACAAGAAAAGATAAAAGAGATCCTCATAATTACTGTACAATTACCATATTTCACAATAAAGCTGAAACTGTTGATTAAAAATTTTGTTGACTGGCAAAACAAGCAGCTCCGAGCAGGTACTTTGACAAATGATTACCCGATTAAACATTCTCTTGTTCCGCCTTTTCAATGGTTAAGATTTGCTGCTTTTTTTTGTTTTATGAGAAATTAACTATTTTTATGTTTTGGGCAAACAAATTAAATATATTATCTTGAAATTATGGGCTTTTCGGTACTTTGTGACATACAGATCAAAAAGTCAAATCAGTTGACTGAGAAAATAATTTACAGAATAATTGATAACGAAAATAATTGTTATTGCTCTTTTTACATCTACACAAATATAGTCCTGACAGAGAGATTTTCCATCTGTCAGGACATACTGTATGCCCATCCAAATAGCCTGAGACAAACATCATACAGATGGACTGTAAACATAACCCTAAATGAACTAACAAACAATTAGACCTCATGTTGCACCAAGAGACCAATGGATCAAAGTGGGATAAAAATTAAAGTTTTTCTCATGGTGCCCACAGCTAGTGGTACATCATCCTCTGTGTGTGTATTTAAACTGCATCTTACATTAAATTTATCAGCAGAGCACAAATACTCATATTTTCAGAAAAAGAATGATGAAAATTAAGTGCAGGGGAAGACAGCACAGAGGATTATAAGGAGTTAGAGCTGCTCCTCTTTTGTATTAACTCAGGACTTGCCTGTCTGCCCTCTCCACACATGCATGCGCGCGCACACACGCACGCGCACAGAGGACACAGCTTGAAACAGGACGCAGCTGATCTAGCTTGCTAACCACACACAAGGTTAGAAGGACACTTTCTTCCCAACAGGGATTCTGTGAGGTTTACTGGATGCTGAAATGTTTGTTATTCTGCTCCAGTGTTGTGTTCAGCTTATGCACACATGCACATGAACACTCACTTGGTCAATCTAAGTGAAAGCGTCATCAGCAGAGATGACAAATAAATTGCAACATCATGAAAACTACGTCAAATATTAGTAAATGAACATGGTTGTAAAGTTTAATATTTGCAGCATGTTGTGTGCGTGCGTGTGTGTGTGTTGTGTGTACCTGTCTCCTCTGGTGAGTTGCTCTCCTGGGACAAGGTGGTCCAGCTCAACTCTTCGTCACTGGGGTTCAGATTCTGGATGCGGTTCAAAGCACAGTCTGTCTTTGCACCAGTCCTTCTGTCCTTCTTCGTCTCTGGAGAGGAAGAGGAAGAGGAGGAACAAGAAGCCACAGAGAGCAGGGGCGTGTCCTCTAGACTGGCTTGTCGTGGTGGGGAGGGAGGAGGGGGCACTGGAGAGTCCTTGACTGATTTGAAGAGCTTGAGATTGGACTGGAGATCTGACATGAGCTCCAGGCCTGGAGAAACTTTATGGTTCTTTACAGGAGACTCACTTTTTAGTAAAGGCTCTTCCTCCTCATCTTCCTGCTCCTCCACCACCAGCTCATCTCCATCTTCCTCAGTGTTTATCTTTGACATTTTCTTCTCAGACAGAATGCAGATATCATTGCCCTCCTCTGCCTCAGTTTTCAAGTCAAAGCCTATTTCTGCTTTGTTGCCGTTCAGTTTGGGCTCCACGGTTGTGTTAATGTTATAGTCTATGTCTGAGTCAGGTTTCTGCTCAGGCTCTTCATTAGTGTTAATGTCTAGGTTCAGTTTCACATCCAACTTAATGACATCGTCCTCTCGGTCATTATTGGTGAGAGCGTGACTGTCATGCTCTTCTGCTGTGTTGACATTGAGGTCATCGGCTATAGTCTCTGAATTACACTCCAGGTCCATCAGATCAGGGACGGTTGTGTTTTTATTGTGGTCCTGCCCAGCCTTACGAAGCTGGTTGACCCCGTTCTTGGCTAGTTTGGGATTGCTGGGGGTTAAAGACTGTGATGGGGATGATGATGGGGATGATGAAGAGGGTGCTGATTCTCCAAGGCCCATGGCAGCTTGAATACTGGTAAGTGCATACTTTTTGCGACACTTGGGGGGAGTGGCAGAGCCCTGTTTGATGACATCGCTGCTGAGTAGCTGGTTGTGTGAGGAGCGAAGGCTGAGTGAGGTGGGAGGGGTGGCAGCAGGGCCATTACGATTGGTCACATCTACTGACATCATTGTGGCACAAGACAGATCACCTGAAAAAGGAGATGGGGCATAACAGGAGGTAAATAAACACACACATGCATTAACATGCACACAAATAACTCTTATATGCACCCATCTATTCTTGAACTGTAATTAAGAGATTATGACATGATGAAATGTAAATGGTTCCAATAAACAAATACCGAAGCGGTAGAAAACAATGTAGAAATAAACAAACCACATTTAGTTTAAAATATAAATACAACAAATGAAGTTAAACATAGCTAATAAAGAATTACTATCGCATGAAATATACAAGAGATCTTTATAAAAAACTGTACATAAGTGTGCATAAGTTCATTATTGAATTGCTGCTCGAGGAGAATGACAGATGAGCTGCGCATGTTTACAAAAGCAGAAAGTTCCTAAAGAAAGAAATGTGCTCAATGAAAAATGTACAGTGTTTAGTATTAATATTTCAACTTAACCGAACAAAAATATAATAGTAGATAGGGATGCAACCTGGAGCAGTTTTTCCTTTTAGTATGGTCTGCATCATACAGCTCTAAGTAATCATTCCAAAGCTTTAATCAAACAGTGTATTGACTACTGAACCTTCTCTTTAAATAAGTGGTGATAGTGTTTGCTGTGTTTATAGTGGTCACATACACAGCTGCAGTTAAGGCCAGTTCAGACAGAGTGCGGTTTTAGACGCATTTTCCATTGAACTCCATTCTCTAACACACGCAAGAAACATGTCACCCCTAGACCCCCACAGTTTTTTAAGCTTCAGTTCCATTTTCTCTGGCATATTAAGTGTAGAGTAACCTCCACAGATACAGATAGCTGTTTACGTCACACAAGTCCCCAGTTATTTTCTGCTGCAAGCCTTTTTACTGGTACACTAAGTTATGATTACATAAAGCCTACATGAAAACTATTGCTGTCCAGGACATTTCTGCTGTTGATCGGCCTGGTGAAGAACAATTTGTCCATCCGCTGTCCTTCTAGCGGGAGCTACTGACTGACAGCTGTTCATGTCTTGCTTTCAGTCAGGCTGTGGTTATGTTGGTGAGTGAAGCACTGGACCTGCGAACTGTTGGACTTAATTTAGCTAAAAAGAACTTATTATAGTAACTGTGACAGAAAAATAACTAGCCTATATACACTGCATTCATTAAATGTTTGTTCACCTCCATAGAGGGAACAGGGATTCAGGATGGAAGAGGGAGGGATCAGGGAGGGACAGATGAGGAGAGAGGAGGGAAGTGTTCAAGCAGAACAGCCTGTCCCCCACCCCAAAAAACCCAAACCAAACTTCTTGAACCGCAGGAAACACTGAACATAGATTGTGTGCCAGCATGCATGTGTGTGTATTTTGTACCTTACAGGAGGTCAGTTATAGACTGGTGCTGGTCACGGTTGATGGTTCAGTATACTCAGCTGCAGATCTGAACACCACCCGGGGAAAAAAAAGAATAAAAGAATGATCAAAAGAAAAATGCAAAGAATCCTGAGTGCCTCTTGGGCTGCCCTTAGAGACCACATTCATTCATGCGTAGCATAACTACAGCTGGTTTCTATGGAGACAACAGTGGGGGAACTTCAAACACCATGGAAATCAAAATGATAGAAGAGACACTGAATCAGATATGGAGGAAGAATCATAAGAGCAATCAGTCCTTGAGGGTCTGAGATTGTGTTGTTGTTTTTGGTAGGATAATTTCTCTGCATACTGCCCCACTCATGCATAATGATTGAATGTATTGTACAGTAAATGGGATGATGTGAGAGGGTTTTTCATGAGAGGCAAAAACTAAAATGCATTTTCCAAAGTATTTCTGAGCAGTGAAATGAATGAATTAAAAATCAAAACAACTAGGAGGCATCTGGGTTGTCTTATATCATGTCCTCATGTCCAGGAGAAAAGGCAATATGCTCATGGCATTAGTAGCTGATTATTAAGAATACTAGCAACATCTTTAAAAAATTAATCAGTTTTATCTCATTAATACATAAACTGAAAAAATGTGTCTGCAGAGCCATATGTGCCAGCACGACAACACAATGCCCAACTAGCAACATCTTAAAAAAATTAATCACTTTTATCTCATTAATACACAAACTGAAAAAATGTGTCTGCAGAGCCGTATGTGCCAGCACGACAACACAATGCCCTGTATACCGTGTAGCATGGCAGGACATAAAAACATTATACATTATGCACAATGTTAGAGAGCTACCAGAGAACAAGAGGAGCACAAAGTTATTTTTCACTATAAACACTGATATTAGCTCATTGTCCTTACAGTATCTTCCCTGTTTCACAAGGCGGTACCTTAGCAGACTGCCTCTATATGATATGTGTTTAGTCAGTTCTAAATTCATGAAAATAACAAGTAGTCTCCAATTTGTCTTAAGCGGGCTTTAATGGTTTTTGTGAAGGAGAATATTCACTGGGATTATATCGGAATGTATCTAAATATCAACTCATATAGAATCTAACAACACTGCGTATTAATGCTCAATAGCTATGCCATGCCTATATTTTGGTTATGACAGCTAGAGCAACCATTTCTATTGGTTTGAAGGGTTTACAAGTCTATTTGTGTGTTAAAATATACCACGTTGGACAGCAAAAAGTCCAAATTAAAGTTGCTCAAAACACTGCAAGTGTTGCTGGACCTTTTGCTTTCCAGTTTGTACACCTTGCCAGTGGGTGAAGCTAGGCCAGAACCTTCTACTGGATTTAAACTATAACTTGAAATAAGTCCTTTTAACTGTTGCTACTTACCAAAGAACTAAGGACTGTGGGAAAAACCAGGATGGAACACATCCATACTGGTAGTCAGTGGCTCTCTCTTCATCCAATCAGGAGGGCTTGACTAAAGCAGCGGCGTCCTGAGGGAAAGACAAACATAAAGTAGGATTAATGAGTTGGAGAAAGATGGAGGGGTGAACAGAGAGAAAACGAGGACCACAGGACACCGGGGGGACAATAATAAAGACACATTAATTATTCACAACCTTGATCAAACATTAATACACAAGGTATGTGTGTATGTGTGTATGTGCGTGAACATAAGGCTCATTTTGTATAGCGCTCATATTTCCTTGTTTGGTGCAGTCTTGCCAACCCTTAGCTGACTGGAACCATCATAAAGTTAATTCCACAGGAGACTTGTAAACTCTGCCTTCCAACAGCCAGCACAAATACACTCACATTACCACATAATACAGTCAAGACTTGTGGGCAGTTCTTATCAACACACTACATCCTTAAGAAGTTGAGAGAAAGATAAAAAGCATAGTTAGACAGGACCATAAAATCCCACTTATCCCTGACTCAGGGGCTGGAAAAACTCATGGAATGATTTTGGTGAATAAAACTGCAAGAACTACAGGAAATGTTACCACATCACATGAATATTTTAGCTCAACTTTCAGCAGGCGGTAACCTCTGCAAAGAGTTCATTACAAAATAATAGTAACAATAATTAACCAAGGTCACTTAAAGATGTAATGAATCACATTAATTAGTAAAATCCAGAGAAACTATCAGGTACAGGGATAGAGGTAGAATTGTGCTGATGGTTGCAAGCACATTGACTTTTTTTAAGTGCATGATAATCACAAAATAGAATCCCCATCAAGATTTAGTTTGGTAATCAGGCAAATTATCAAATGTAATGACAGCCAGTGGCCTTTCAAAGTCATAAGTAGTCTATGCTTTGGTACTGTAAAAAAGTTTAATGTGCATTTTGTTTAGGCAGATTAATATAAATGCATAATTTCATTTGGTTCATTTCTGTCATTTCTGATGTAATTATTTATTCAGTTCATGTTTATGCTTTCCATGTTCATATGATGACACTATGTAGGTTTTGTTAAAAACAGGAAAATTGGTTACTGTCACTTTAAGACAGAGCTTGTGTTAAGTTGAAGTTAAAAGGACTGAATTTTGATGTAGCCAGAGGTATTAAGACTTACTGAGTGACACAGTTCTCTTATTATAGTGCAGTCACTTATTTTGGAAAAACTTGTTTGGAACTTATAACAACAAAACACAGCGGATTAAAGTATTTTGTTGGTCTTTTACATTAGAGCCCCCCCTTCAAGTGAGTTGTACACATGTAATGCCAAGGTCACTTCAACCTTCACATACAGACCATAGTCCCACCAATACAACTGGCTTGTTTTAAAGTTCACTTTACCCTTCTCATTTCTCTGCAGAATGACAGAATTCACTGCAGATCTTGCAGAACTCATCAACTCCCTACATAAGGACTAACACTCACACCTTTGCCAGCAAGGCTTCATTTAATCTTTATCTTCTCTCTTCTCCCTCTGCTTTTCCTTGAATGACCCTATCCCAAGGCTTAGACGTATTCCATACTTTTTCAGTCTAACCAACAATGAACCAACCAATCACCACACACATACCAGCTATTTTTCACAAATGCAACTTGTGCTTTCCACATTATTCCAATACCTTGCGATGCATGAAGGCCATAGATATTTGTATGAAAAAAGGAGAAGATAAATGCAGCCATGAAAAAAATAAGACGGTACTCAGTGGAAAGTATTCTCTGCACAAAGAAAACCATTATAGTCCTTACGAGTCTTTGCTTTCCTGACTATCTGGGAGTGTTAGTGATTTGCTATTTGTCACCTACAATAAATAAGGCAGGAATAATGTTGCTATGTAACTGACCTAGCTCTATATTTTTATCATTTGCATACTTGCTCACAAATTGGAATGCATATTCCAACAACTTAGTCATGTAATAAAAATAAGACATTGTATTAAAGTTTTACATTTCTATATTTCTCTGACTCGACAGAAGAAGGGAAGCGTGGAGCTAATGTTAAGTAAGCCGTTAATTTTAATTTAGTTAATGTAAGAACAAAAATTATGATATCCCTGATTTCAATAATGTAATGTGGTTATGTTGTTACATATATTATGATGCTAATTATATATTTAGGAACAATGCTGGGTTGTGCAGGTTGCTAATAATGGGTTCTAAATGCATTTTCATTTGTGTTGCATTCTGTAAACATGAAACACATGTGAACAGCCAAGCTTTATATTAAACACAATAGGCAAAACAAAGTTATAACAACATTATAGGTGTATACAGGAACACTGATGACACATATGCAAGTAGAGTAAATCAGGCCTACATTTGTTCAGGATTGTTTAGGCATACTGAGATTTAGTTTTATCCATCATCAGCAAACTCAATCGCTGACAGTTTGATGTTGGGTGTTGTGCTAGTAGTAGCCAGTGTAGCCTTGAGCTGCTAGGCTCAAGTAGAGATGAAAAGTGGGCTACAGAAGTCCAATACAAATCACTTCTAGCTCCACACTCCCAGTTTTTATTCATTTCAGACTTGTAGTCTTCAACACCAACTCATGCTGAGTCAGTATATCAGTTTTCATGCCAAACCCACTGAAGCCAGAAAATCATTTATACAACGTTTCTGGTACGTGCAGTAGTTCTTTCGCCTATAGACAGCTGCATAAAATCAGGGTCCCTCTGCAGGTGGAAACTGCACTGGCACACACATGAAGAGTAAATATCAGGTTGTACCTTCCACATGGACTCACTTGTACACAGTTAAATGAGCAGGAAAAAACTGAAATAGACAGACACACTTAGAGCAACACACAAACAAAAACATACTGGGAATGTAACAAGAGCTAGGATGTGCCACAGCATAACAATGACTTCTGACCCACTGACCAACACACTGTGTGTGTTGTTGTACGTGTGTGTCAAATGTAGTCTGAGGGGGAACTGAACCTAACAAGAATGAAGGAAGCAGCTGCAAACACTCCACCTGTCTGTCTCCTTTTACATGTGCTCTGTGTAATCACTGCCATTTACCAGGCTCTGGACTGAGCGAGGTACAGACAGATTGCTTTTAAATTCATATGCCAAGTGGATGCCTGCCAAGAGTTTGATAGGCCTCTCATCCCTCCTTCCTGGCCCTCCCTCTCAAGGTTTTTCGCCATTCCAATTTGTCAGCTAATCCCACTTGACTTTTACTTCTTTACTTTATCCCATTTTCTTGCCCATTTCCTCTCCTCTCCCCTTCCTCTCCTAGCCCTCACTACCTTCACAGCTTCTACCTATCACCTACTCTTTCCTTTGTCAAGGAGAGAACTGCTGTCGTTTCTCATTAAAAGTGAAGGTCTGTAAACTCTCATAAAACCACTCGTTTCTCTCTACAACCCTGATTTACAGCAACTATTCCACCCCCCCTACACACACACACACACACACACACACTCTTGAGAAACCCCATCTGTTACCAAAAAAGCCTGACAAGAAAGCAAAGCTGTCGCAGTCAGAGACCAGGCCATTGAAAACAAAATGAATGGCATTGTGTCAACAAGGAAAGGCATGCAGAACAGAAAATGCAACGATGTTTTTCTAAATTTTGGATTAGGACGCAAATATGTAAGTAGGCTCCACAATACCAGGCAATCTTCCCAGATCTTTCTTGGCTTCATTTCAGTGGCTGCAGAGTAGGTTCAGCCTTCTGCATTTAGCTGCAGATTACTTCCACTACATGGCTGGGAAGTCTGCAACACTGCTAACCAAAGACCTTCTGACAGGTGACACAAAGGAACAAACTGAATAAAAGAGTGGAGAAACAAACGCAGATGCTGGGCCACTTGTCTCCTTAGAGGGAATAGTCACTGCAAGTCAGTACAAAGTTGGTGTGAGTGATCACCTTTATCCTATAATGAAGCATTTCTATCATGATGGGAGAGGGCTCTTCGAGGATGACAGATCCCCCATCCATAGGGCACAAGGGGTCACTGAACGGTTTGAGGAGTACAAGATGAACTCGCAGTCACCAGACCTCAGCCCAGTTGAACACCTATGAGAGATTTTGGACTGATGTGTTAGAAAGCGTCTCCACCACCATCATCAAAACACCAAATGAGGGAACATATTTTGTAAGAATGGTGTTCATCCCTCCAGCGAAGTTTAGAGACTGATGGCCCAGCACCTTACTGAAGCCCTTTACCCTGAAAAATGGTACCCAGGGGAGCTCTGTGTGAGAACACAAATGTCCGACTGACCCGGAGTTTAAATAGACTTTACCTTACCAGCTCCCTAGTACAAAGTCCGCGTAAAGTCCAAGTGAGCTGTAGAAAGCCCATGCAAGTAAACAGTTGCATTTAGACCGGAGTATTCTCACCAAGCTAGTGGACACATAGATGTCTATCATGTGACTGGCCTAAAACCGAAAGAATACAAACATCCAATAGTGAAGAAAAATGGTCACTTACAATGAAGACACCACCAAAAATATTTAATTGGAGACACAACCAGATTTGGGAACTTCTGTCATAAAGACCAGGTGCCAGAATCTTCAGACAAATTTAGTGTGGCAAGAGACTCAGTTGTTTATGACCAAATTACAAACCAGCTACATGATTGCAACATGTCCTGCCTCTTGCTCACTCTACCTCACCACAAAAACCAAATGGAGTATTTCCAGTAGGTGAGAATACGTCTTGACGTAGACCTCCTCCTTTTGTGTGCTACATGTGTGAAAGAACAATTCTGGACCTGATTTCACAGACATTGTCCAGAGTTCATGTGTGAAAACAGCTTAAGACCCTTCATGTTGGTTTTGATTTGGATTGTTACCCCTCTGTAGTTGTTCACAGTCTAACCACTATGTCAAACTTAATCTTTTGTATTATGTAGCCTATCATATAATCTGTAGCAATACACTTTTAAGAGGCTAAAACCTTCTTCAGAATTCAGCTGCTAGACTCCTGACCAAAACTAAAAACAAAGAGCATATTAAGCTGAACTATACTCATTCCCTGCATTAATTAGAATTGATTTTTAGGCCCTGTTGATTGTATAT